AAGTTTCTTCTTCTATTGATAGGTGAAATCTGGATCCACAAACCCACTCGCTAAGTAGTTAACAATGTCCGCGTACCAATCAGTCTTTTCCAATTGCAATAACTGCTCATCAGGAAAAACTTCATTGATATCCACATCATCTAACTCTTTCAACTACTCTAGCCTTGACACTACTTGGTTTTTTGTTCCCTTTTTATCACAAATTTCAATATCGAACTTTTGCAGTAACAGAACCCATCGAATCAACCTGAGTTTAGCATCTTTCTTCATGAATAAATACTTCAAAGCTGAATGGTCTGTGTAGGCTATTGTTTTTGAACCAATCAGATAATAATGAAATTTGTCAAAGTTTTGCTGGCATAGTAGATGACATGCAAGACCTTTCCCTTTCGTTGACCTAGCACTGCTCCCACTGTGAAATCACTGGCATCACACATGAGCTCGAAAGGTAGTTCCCAATCTGGTGCCACTATAACACTCATCAGATGTTAACTTTTCCTTCAAAGTGTTAAAGGCATTTAAACACTCATCAAAAAAGATAAATGACACATCCTTTTCCAATAGATTGCACAGAGGTTTTGTAATCTTTGAGAAGTCCTAGATGAATCATCTGTAAAATCCCGCATGTCCCAAAAAGCTTTTAATCCCTTTGACTGAGGTAGGTGGCTGCAAATTTTCAATCACCTGTATCTTTGCTTTGTCGACCTTGATACCCTGTGAAGAAATTCGATGTCCCAGCACTATCCCCTCTTTTACCATAAAGTGGCACTTCTCCCAATTGAGCACCAAATTCTTCTCTTCACACCTTCTCTATGAATACCTCTATGTACTTTTTCACCATATCAGAGAATATGGCCATCATGCATCGCCGAAAGGTTGCAGGTGCGTTGCACAGACCAAAAGGCATTATTCTACAGGCAAAAGTACCGTAGGGACATGTAAGGTTGTTTTCTCCTGGTCTTCTGGAGCAATGTCTATCTGATTGTACTCTGAATATCCGTCTAGAAAACAGTAATGAGAATGACCTGCTAACCTTTCCAACATCTGATCAATGAAGAGCAATGGAAATTGATCTTTTCTGGTGGCATTATTTAGCTTTCTGTAATCTATATACACTCTCTATCTCGTTACTAAACGTGTTGGTATCAACTTATTGTTCTCTACTGTAATTCCACCATTTTTAGGCACCACATGTACTTGACTCACCCAAGAACTATCTGAAATGGGGTAGATAATTCTTGCATCGAGCAATTTCAGCACTTCTTTTCTAACTACTTTCTTCAAGGTTGGGTTTAATCTGCGTTGACCTTCTACGGATGGCTTAGACTCGTTTTCCATTATGATTTTGTGCATAAAAAGAATAAGACTGATTGTAACCTCCAATATCAGCTATGGTCCATCCAATTACAGTCTTGTGTTTTCGAAGTACCTCCAATGACTTATCTTCCTCCTCCTTTGTCATGTCATTTGCAATGATCACTGGAAGTGTTGTAGAATTTTCCAAATATGCATAACGAAGATGGCATGGTAGAGGTTTTAACTCAAGAGTTGGAGCCCTCTCCATTGAAGATACGGGTGGAGTGAGACTGTAACCAAGAGACTCATATTGCCAATGTTTCTTTCCAATTGGTTGTTCAGCTATATGTAAAGTATATTCTGTTCACTCAGCATTTATTGCCTCTGATTGTGCACTGTCTGCCTCACATAGAAGGGATTAATGTGTTGTATCAAATGTATCGGCCACAAGCTCATCAAGAACATCCACTTGGCAACAAGTATATGAAGTTAATGGATATTTCATTGCCTTGAACACATTGAATATGATCTACTTATTGTCCACTCGAAGAATCATTTTTCCGTCATATACATCAATAAGTGCTCTCCCGGTAGCCAAGAAAGGTTTTCCTAAGATTAACATAATATTTGAATCTTCTTCCATGTCTAAGATAATGAAATCTGCCGGGAAGATGAACTTATCAACCTTGACTAGCACATCTTCAATAATTTCCTTTGGTCTTTTGATAGACATATCATCCAGTTGCAATGAGATTGTTGAAAGAATGCTCGAAATAATTAGAACCAATAGTGTACGGTATAGTGAAGCTCTTTGAGTCCTTTAGCTTATGAGGTAGCTTTTTAAAGAGAATTGCACTGCATTCCTCGTTCAGGCAGATGGTCTCATGCTCTCCCAACTTCCTTTTATTGGATAGAATTTCTTTATGAAATTTTGCATAACTGGGCATTTGTGCTATTGCATCTGCAAAAGGGACGTTTATGTGCAATTTCTTGAAAACCTCCACAAATTTGGCAAATTGCTTGTCTAACTTCTTTTTTTGCAACTGT